CCGCTTTGAACGATCTACATGCTATTAAATGATATGAGGTCTCAGCACAGGTATGGAACTCTCTCTCTCTCTCTCTCCCATTCTCTGCAAAACCTTTTTCCCCACCCTAAAACCCTTATTTGGTTGCTTTGATCATACTAATTTAATAGCTTTGGTGTTACTTTGAGACCAGTCGTGATCCATTCAAGACCAAGTTGTTCTTCAGATCTAGGCGTGTCTGGATCAAATCAACATCCCAGTCATTCAAATCAGGAAGTTTTGGGATGGTTTAGCTCCATAAAATAGACCAATGTTGTTTTTCCATTTTCATGAATGTTTTGGTGCTTTTAGAATTACGTGCTTGTGTTGTTGTTTGATTTGCAAGTGGAAACCTTAAAACATCAAGTTTTTTCTTTTGTTAGTCATAGCACAAATAACATGATTTTGATGATTACTTTTTATTTTGTTTTGATTTATTTTGAGAAATGGAATTGAAAACTTATTGTTTGATTAAATCATTATAATCTATTATATTTGTATTTAACTATGTTTTTGAAGGCCAAAAAGAAGCTTAAACAAGTGTTAAAGAGGTCCCATAACAACAACAAACAGCAGCAGCAAGTAGCGGTAGTAGAAGCAGCTAAAACAAATGAGATTGAAATTACATTGGGTGGTCGACCGGCTAGGCCAAAATTAGCCTGTTTCGCTCCAATTCAATTCTGTTTCGCACCGATTGTCAGACCAACAGTATGCTTAACAACCACAGTAGTTATCCTTCATGACCAAGACTTGACTGGATGACCGGGTGGTCATCCGGGTAGAAGTCCAGGTAGACAACCACCAAGAGAAAATGGTCACAGTGGACATCCGGGTGGATGACCACCTTCTGCAGAGTTATCAAATTTTGTGAACTAATAAAAAAATGGTTTGTACAGACACCCATCATTCAACAGGCAAATCTCACATAGGCTAGAGACAACTACTGAGCATCCATTTGTATATCATCTCACCCATCATTATCCAATCTCTTCAACAGGAAGAAGAGGATGGGCTTGTCAGACAGAGGAGAACATTGAGCTCTGCTATACATACAAAGCTCTGTGAAGTGAAGAGAAAGAGAGACAGAACTAGAGAAGTGAACAAGGAACCAAGATATTTTCTTATCATTCATCAATCACATATTTCATCTTCTCTGAGTTATCTGAAGAATTCTTCATCTGAGTTTTACATTCATCCTTCAGTAAATCAAACACTGGGCCTTTAACCTTAAGCTTATCTACCTGTGAGAGGTTATCAAAAAAATCAGAGAGACTTGAGCTAAGAAATTTCTTTGATTTTATCATCAGTCTCGAACTCATCCTTAAAGTGATCTAAAGAGTTCTTTAAACCTTGATACATCACTCACCTTCAGAAATTATACACAAAGCTTAAGCTTTAGGCTTATTCACCTTTGAGAGGGTTACTGTTATATCTTCTGAGCTTCAACATTGTATATCTATCTGTAAGAGATATTTTGTGGCTTGCTTTGAAAGCAAAAACACTCATTTCCAATCTTGTAAAAGATCACTAGCAAGACTATAAAGCTAGGGAAATTCGTGGAGAATTATTCCATATATATGAGGTTACTAGCACCCTTATGAAGTTAGAAAATCTATGGAGGTCCATGTACATGAGGTTGCTAGCACCCCTATAAAGCTAGAAGATAATGGAAATTCTGAAGTGAAGCTTAAGGAGTGGATGTAGGCTTAGCAGAAGCCAAACTATTATAAATCATGTTTGCATTATCTTCCCTAATCTCTTTATTTTCCTACTATTGCTATAGCTATCTGATATTCATGTGTTAATCATTTGATTTACTCTCTATGTTAATTATACTTCTTTGTTATTTTGCTTGATCATATACTGATAAGTTCATCGTGCACTATAGACATCCCATTTTGACTGGCCCAAGACTTGGCACTTTCTTTTGATTACCTTACGATGACAAAACAAGAATGTGTTTCTCACAGAATCCTCAATAAGAAAACTTAGAATTTGAGCCCTATTTTCAACCCTAAACAACCACAAATTACCTTTCCAATGGAATATTTTGACCTCACAGTTGCATCCAAAATGGTTCGTTTAGCTAAAATCAACCTTCGCTGCACTTCCAAGGGCCTCACTGAAAAATTCTTCCAAAATCTAGGTTACAACACAATTATTTGAAACTTCTAGGCCAAATTGTAATTTTCAAAAATTAAGGAATATTCTGTTATGTGAGGGAATATTCTGTTAAGTCAGGGAATATTCCGTCCATATGCAGAATATTCCGTCAATGCTAACTGTGACGCTGACGTGGTGGTCTTGCTGACGTGACAAGACTAGATTGGTCCTTGCTGATGATGTGGCGCTGACTTGTCTTTACCTAAAAAAATAAATTTAAGGAATGCTAGCAAATGGGTTTGAACCCCCAACCTAAGACTCCACACCCAATACCTTAACCACTTTACCAAAGCCTTGCCTTGTGTTATATTTCCCCACAAATAATATTTGACCATTTCAAACCAGCAGGCAAAAAATGTGTATTTTTTCATTTTTTCTTGTGTGTAAAACACTCCCCTACCCCATTGGTCGACCCATATATCACCAAATACATACCTAATCATCCCTCATTGTCAAAAAGAGGTTTTGTTTGCATCCATAAAGGAGTATCCCATGCAACCACCTTGAAAATTTGTCCTTCTATCACATTCTTGTCTCCCACCTTCTTTTTGACCTTAACTCTCTCTCATTGCCTATATAGAATGATCAAATTGTAAGAGAGAGAGAGAGAGAGAGAGAGAGAGAGAGAGAGATTGAAGAGAAAATAGTGAGAAAAGGGTGAAAAAAGAGAGAAAAATCGAGTTTTTGAGCCAAAAACACTCTTATCTTCCATATAACCTCATACCTTCCATACAAACTAAAATTCCATCTTTCCTACACCCAAAACTCCTCCAAAAATTATGAAATAGCTAAATTTCAGTAGTGATTGATCAAAGGAAAGAGTTAGTGTTGTTGAAAGTGAGAAAAAAATAAGAGAGTTAGCCACTTTTCCACCATACATACCCTAGAGTTCCGTTCTAGTTTCGAATTGAGGATTGAGAACACACTTCCTAAACTTGAGGGTGATCAAGAGGAAGTTTGAAAATCAAAAAGTTCAATCTTTTTTTGGAAGGTGAATTTCTAGTCTTTCATTTTCTTATATTTTCTATCTCATATTTATTTCCTTGCTTCTTATTTCACAGTATTTTGTTATAACCTAAGTGGTTTGTTTATCTCATATTTATTTTCTTGCTTCTTATTTCATAGTGTTTTGTTACAATCCAAGTGGTTTGTTCATCTCATATTTATTTTCTTACTTTATATTTCATAGTGTTTTGTTATAATTCAAGTGGTTTGTTTATCTCATATTTATTTTCTTATTTTATATTTCATAGTGTTTTGTTATAATCCAACTGGCTTGCTTATCTCATATTTATTTTCTTCCTTCTTATTTCATAGTGCTTTGTTATAATCTAAGTGGTTTTTTATAGCGATCCCGGGTTTACCCTTGTTGTACAGTAATCCGGACATGTGTCCGTGGATGTTGGTAGTTGTTTATTATCTTGTTTGCATCCTCTTTACTTTGTATATTGAGTTATAGGATGTGTTGGGCAGGTTTGTTACAGGTTGGTTGTGTTTGGGAGCCTAGTGTTGCTGCCCAGATTTTTGGACCTTCGCTCGAGCGAGGAGTTGGTCGCTCGAGGGAGAGTTGAGTTCGTGTCTAGTGGGTCGAGCCAGCGTGGCTTCGCTCGAGCGAGCGATGGCGTCTGGTTCTGGACCTGAGAGTTGCATTTCTTGGCTCGAGTGAGTAACACTAAAAAAATTTAATTTATAAGACCATAATTTTTAATTTATTATTTTTAATTAAATTTAATTTATAATTTATATTAAATAATTTTTATTTAATATATAATTTTAAATTAACAACACTAAAAAAATAATTTATAAACATTCAAAAGACTATTTTACCATTTTCCAAATGTTTACTAAGTAATAGCATTAGGATAAAATAGGCATTTCATACATTAGCCCCATGGGATACCAATCTCATGGAAATAATCCCACCCCCCACCCCCAGGATAAAATAATCCCCTCATATGCCGGACTATTAGTCCAAAGCAAAAAAATTGAACCAAACAACGGACTAATAATCCGGAGAGACTAATCGTCCAATCCCATGGCCCAATCCTTCAAAACAAACACCACCTTTGTGTATTTCGTTTAAAAAAATTTAAATCAATCTGATATCTAACTTATTTAATTTATTATATTTATCATTAAAAAAAATATATGATTTATTTTTAAGATAAATAAATAAATAATTGTTTTCAAATTTTTATTAGCATCTTGTGTCATTGTTTATATTAATTTTTATGGTTAATTTCTTGTTTGGATAAATTATGACAGTGGTCTATGTACTTTGGTCATTATGATACGTGTAATTTCAATTGATTCGATTTTAACCTTGAATTTATGATTTCATCTAAATTTAGTCCAATTGATTACAAATTTTAATATTTTTTTTTATAAAAAAATACACACATAAGATCATATATTATATTTTTAAGAGTAAAATTACAAATTTACCCAATTAAATGAGTTAACGTCAATCAATTTAGTGATAAATTTTCATAAAAAACACTAAAGATATTATCAATTAGATCAAATTGACACAAAATCTAAAATTAAGGATCAAAATTGAATCAATTGAAAGTGTAGGATCCAAAATGACACACTGATTAAAATATAAAAACCACAGATATAATTTACCTTTCACTACTAGAAATATGACTTTTTGCGTCTATATTTTTGCGACTGATTATTTAACCGTCGCAAAAAATCAGTTTTTACATTAAAAAAAACACAAAATCATTTAACCCAATCGTGTTCTCCTTAACTTAAATAAAATAAAATAAAATAAAATCATTTAAAGCTAGACCTATCTCCCCCTTTCACTCTTATTTCCCAAATTTGTCTCCAACGGTGGTGTACCTCATTTCCTGTTGTTGCCTAATCTCTCTCTCTCTCTCTCTCAAAATCTCTCTCTGGCTCGACTCTCTCTCGCTTGAATCTCACTGTCCAAATCTCTCTCGCTCTAGTAAATTTGAACCTCGCTTGAATCTCATTCTCAAGATTTGAAGATTTTGATCTATTTGTTGATGAAGATTTGAAGATTTCGATAGGCTGTTGATGAAGATTTCGATCGATTCATAATTGAGATTCATAATTGGTAAGCTACTTTCTGTGTATGAATCCAACTCTCTGTCTCTCTCGGTAATCTAGCGTGTTTGTTTCATGCCTAGTTGCTGAATTTCTGTGTTGGTTTATTCTGAATTTCTGTGTTGATTTCGATCGTTCTTTAATCTGTGTTTTTGATTTATTAGGTGATTCATATTGTTTTTGCTAATTTAAAGTTATACAGATAGATGGAGACATGATTTCGGTGATTGATCTTGTTTTTGCTAAATTGTTGGCTTATTTCTGGTGTTTTTCCAGATTCTATGAATGAATATTAATCATAGAATATTAATCAAAAAATGATGAATGAATAGGGACTATAGAACTGTATGTCAGTCGTAATCACTTTTCATCTCTTTAGGTGGTTTCTGGAGCCTTAAGTTGAAAATAATACCAAAACTGCCTCAGGATCAAATAGTCATGAAGGCCTATAAACAAAAAAGAACAGATAGGAGGAAGAAAAACTCAAGCTGATAGAGAGAGGGGCAACTTTATTATTTATATTATTCTCAACAGATATGATGTGTTGACTAACAAGAATTAAGTGTCGTAGCCTATGTGGTCAGTTCTTTTATTAAAATGAATTAAGTGTTTATGCTAGTTTTGATTTCTGAAGTGTCTTACAGTTTACAAATATAACTTGCTTAACTATGAGTAATTTTCTGTCTTCCTTGCAATGCTCTTTTACTTATTCCAGAACTGCAATTTTCTTCAAAGCTGATCAGATTGCAATATTTTTATAAGTAAAACAAAATCTCAGAGCTAGCCAGGGAGCGATTTATCTCATAGTATGCTTACATTCATACCACTGGTTTTTTGCTGTGACATTATTTTTTTTTAGGAAAAACATTCTTCGGAGTGAGCAATTCAAATAAGGAGTGGCTCATCACATGCCAGTGCTTTGTTATTTACATAGATTATTGACACTGTGTGAGAAGAGAACTTATACAAAATAAAAGGTCATATGAGGATGTTTATTTGCTGATAATTTGTGGCTTACCTTTCTGTGTACCCCAAAAATGCATTGTCTGGTTACTCCCAGCTATTCCATAATTTGCAACTTAAGTGATCGAAGGTATTGTGTAGTCATTTGTAGTAAATAAAAGGGGAAATTACAAATCAGTGTAGAAGATCACAAATAATTACGAACACATGGGCGGAGCAACTTTTTCTGTGCAACAAAACCACAACAAAAGTCGCATCCCAAACCTATTGGTAAATACTTTCCCCATTTCCCACTGTATTGTAATTTCTCTAAATAAAATTTGTTTGTCCATGAACAATGATTAACTTGATTGGGTTAGAGCATTAATATGTGATCCAAAATTAGGTATGAGAGTGTGTTCTCATATAAAGTTTAAGATGGAAAGAATATCTCACATATACTTGAGAAGAAAGATGCTTTGAATTCATGATAATGGAAAAAGTGAGAATTGGTGCTAGATTTACATGTGATCAAGTTTCCTTAGAACCCTATATCATAATTGAGTAGATGACAGGTCACTTCTCTTTGTTGGCCCTCACAGATTATGATTAAGTCATGATTGAATAGATGGTAGTTGAGCTTCTGTTCATAGCCCTTATACTTTGGAAATTGTTTTCTGCTTTACTTTTTTGTTATTGATATATCACAAGGGTTGACAAATAGGCTGCTGTAGAAATGCGGAGAAAAAAGGTTTTCATATTTACCTTCACATGATAAATTTCAGATTGTGAGGCTGTGTTCATCATTTTCAATCTGCATTTCCCCACCCTCAGTTAATACATCTTCCTGCTATCCATTTTTGTATTATCACTGTAGTTATAAGCTCATGTTATGACATGATTCCTATCTACCATTGTTCAGTGCCACAAAACTTGGCTGCCTTACTGGCCATTCTTTAAAATTAATGTTGCAGGAATGAATGAATTTCAATGTGACGGAGGAGAATGATCGAATTCTGAGAAGGAATATGATAATTAACCACAGACAAGACATGAAGCCACAGTCAATATTTGAAAAACAGGATATGTTCGCATATTGTATACATACTTACATATGCATGTATGATTTTTATGTGAAACATAGTAATTATTACTCTTGTTTTTTAGCAAGACCTTCATTGTTGCTCAAGCAAGGTAGCTACTAAACTATCTGAACAACTCTTTTCATTGTATTATTACTTTTATTATTATGACACTTGTATCGAAGGCATTTGGCGATGTATCTATTAGCAAACACATGTCATAATGGGGTAAACGAAGGTTGCCTTGTTCTAAATGGTGGAAGGTTATAGAAGATAAGGATTCCTATGTTTTAAGACCCGGGGTAGATTAGTCTGAATATGTGATATAATTTTGGAAGTATAGTCTCATTGGTATAATTTGTGGAGTGGTTGTCTATTGTCTCTCTATGACTTGCCAATCTGGCAATGCAGAGAGGGTGGTGATCTTTCTATCCTAAGACCAATAACATGTTCTCTTTGTTAACCATCAGACCTAGTGGTGGAGGGAGTTAAATCAATTCTTTTTGGGTGTATGTATGGCCTCAACATTGTTCAGTAGTTTTTTGTGGTGGCAATTGTGGTATGTATGGCCGTAACTTTCCTCTGCATTGGTGGTGTTCAGGTTCGATCTTTCTTTGTCTCGCAAAGAGATTCATTATGGTGCTCATGCCACATCAGAGCAGGTAATGCAACCCTACTGTGCAACTGTCACATATGAATATCTCTTTGGAATACTTCTCTTTTCCCTTATATTTCTGCTTGTATTTATGATATTTGCTGTGTATGAAGTTCTTGAAGGATATCACTATATTTCCCCATGTATTATGTCGTATTAGGTCAGAAATTTATCCCTAGAGCATATCATATGAACCAATCTGGTACTGCAAATGGGTTTTCTTTAGACTCTGTAATCCGATTCAATTGCAAATAGGTTTTCTTCAGAGACATCATCTTCTCCTTGTCCTTGTACATTCCATTCTCTTCCTCTCTTATCAGGTCCAATCTCTAGGTAATCTCTCTCTCTCTCTCTCTCTCTCTCTGTTATATGTATGTGTGTGTGCTGTTTGTTCAATTTGGATCCCTTATATTGTTCAATTATCAGTGAATTCGTATCTATTTTGAGAATGGGTCTTTTTCTTGGGATAGTGAACAGAAGTATTAATTAAACTATGATTCTAGTGTCTCCTGTTTGTCTGTACTGATTGCTGCGATATCTTGCCATTTGAAAACATTGACTTGCTGAATACCAGTTGAATTCATACTTTGTTTAATATGTTTATTATGCTACTCTGCACATTGGCCTAAACCAATCAAACAATTTCTGAATTATGTTTATTATGACAGCAATGAACTGTTTCTGAATTATGTCCCAGATTAGATGATGGTACCAGAAAATGACTTTTAGGAAGTAAGACAATTATTTTTAGGCATCCTTATAGTCATTCAATTAGTCATGAGTTAGTGCTGATGGAGACATGGGGTAGCATCTATGCTTAGTTCAAGTTAGACTTCTTTAACGGAGTGCTTAATTGAGGCATGTTTCTTTAAAAGAGAACATCTATGAAGCAGCAACTACATTGTTATTAGAAAAGGGATTCTGGGATAATAAAGCTGAAAACCAACTACATTGTTCCATAGATGAAGAGAACAAAACAGTCCATTTGAGCACTGGAGGGAACAGATTGCTTGGAGTTCTATAAGAGTTATAACCAGATCTTTCAAATCATTCCCAAGGGACAGACCAAAGTGGTGAAAATTACAATAAAGTATGAGAAACGAAATAAGGATGTCCCTGATCCACAGAAATATCTGAACTACTTGATTAATTTCTTTAAAGATGTTGATTCTAAGCTCTAGTGTTGATGCTTCCTAGTTTCATGCTTATGACAGTACAAAAAATTAAGGTTTTAGAGACTAAAATTTAGGGACAAAGTGTGGTTTGTCTGGATCTAACACTTAGAGATTAAAGAAAATAACACCACTACTTTCACATTCTCAAACATGGCTAAGTGTGGTTTGTCTTGTACTTGATTCGGTTTTGACCATGTGCCTGTAGAATTATATTAAAACCGTGGCAGGTTTTGCACTGCATATCTCGTTGTTAAATTTGTAATAAGAAATATATAGTCTCCTGTTGTTTGAAATCTGGATTGTGACATGTTACCTTTTTTCAATCTAATTACTCATAGGAGTGATTAAAATTGATAATTTTTATTTTGGCAGTGTATAATTTTTATCATTAATGCCTGAAATTTTTGTTGCATAGGTGCAATGTGGTGATGTGAAACTTGAAAAGAAAATTGATGAGAAGATTGGCCAGTTCTGGATTGTATTTTTTTCATAAAAGAACTTTTCTCAAGTTTTTAGTTGTAATAACTTTCACATATGGCTCAAATTTTGAGACTCAAATGGAATGTTCAATTAAATTATAATGCTATACTGTCTGAATTCTTGTCATTGCTATTCCTAGAGTGCTTAACACTACACTTTCTTTTCTTTTTTTTTCTTTTTTTTTTTTTGCGACGGTAACAAGATGGCCGTCAAAAATCATGTTAGTGTTTTTTTTTGTTTTTTGCGACGGTAAAGTAGCGGTCGCCATAAGTAGTTTAGGCGGTCGCAAATAATTTGCGACCGTTGCTTTGCCGTCGCAAAAAGTATTTGCCACCCCCACATTCGCGACCCCTGTTTGCCGTCGCATGGGCTGTCGCAAAAAGTCTTTTGCGACTGTTTTTTATTATTTGCGACGGTTTATAGCGGTCGCAAAAAGTAGTTTTTTTAGTAGTGTTTCTTATTTAAAAATAGTTATTAAAAACTAACAAAAATACGAACTCTGATGATACAAAATCATATAAAATAATTTTCTTCAAATAAATTATAATAATGTTTGTTACATACATGCAGATAAAAAAAATTATAAAAATAAATAAATAATTCAAACTCAAAATTCATTAGGAGTGCACTAGTATCATTATAAAATAATTTTCTTCAAATAAATTATAATAATGTTTGTTACATAGATGCACATAAAAAAAATTATAAAAATAAATAAATAATTCAAACTCAAAATTCATTAGGAGTGCACTAGTATCATTCCAAAAATAAATTTCAACTAACTTTTTGTTGGGATTTTTATAATTAGCAATTTCGTTAAACAAAATATCATTCAATTGTAATTACATTATGTTCTTTCATTCATTCACGTATGAATGTGAGAGTGTTTTAAATACGAATCCAACTCAATTTAACTCACTTAATCACCTAATTCTACTTGTATTGATACAAAACAAATCACAAAATCGACAATCGAGACTATCTATGCAAGATATTTGGCCATTGCGACTTTTCTTCTTTACAGACACGTGAAGAAGAATCATTACAAGTGGTCCCCTTGTTGAAAAATAAGAAAAACAATGAATGTGTCTGTTCTACTTGCTTGGCATGTCTTCATATGAAAGTTGGAGTATGCTCTACTGGAACCACAAATTGCAATGAGAACTGTTGAGAACATAAACACAAATAGTGTGTGTTATGACACCACCAAGCATAGGATTCCACAATAATTTAATGAAAACATCATCACTCATTGACATATATAAATTAAAGACAACTCAATAATATGGCAACAACATTGATAAGAATGACTCCCCCAACAAAGAAAGAATTAGGTCTCGTTTAGCAAGTAATTTTTTTAGTTAAAAAATTAAAAAGTAATTAATAAAATTTAAAAATCAATAATGTATACTAAAAATTTAAAGGTTTTTTTTTCTCTCTATTTTTTATATATTTTTTTATAAAAATTCAAAAAATTACCCTAAACATACTAGTTTTTTTTACCTCATATTTTAGTTAAAAAGTAAAAAAGTTACCAAAATAATCTGTTCTCAAACGAGGCCTTAGTGGGTGTTTGGGAAATGGCTATTTTTAGGTTTTTTTTGCTTTTTGGCAATTTTAGGCCCCGTTTGGGGACTTACTTTTTTAGCCAATTAGCCAAAAAGTTACTAAATTAGTCAAAAAGCCAACAACTCATACCAAAAAGTCAAAGATTCTCTTTTCTCTCTACTTTTTGCACATCTTTTCGTAATTAGCCAAAAAGTCATCACAAATATACAAGTTTTTTTTACCTACCTTTTTAGCCAAATAGCCAAAAAATTACTAAATTAGCATGTTCCCAAACGAGGCCTTAGTAGGCAATTTTAGTTTTTGTGTTTAGGAAGATGAGATGAATTTTTATTTGAGTTCTTATATCAAAAAATGTATTTAAAATGATAATTGAAGTTGAAATGACAAATTTGTTCTGAATCTTTTTTTTTCGGAATTAAGGTAAAGGGGCAAAAGTGTCATTTTGTACCGATGGGACAGCCTTCAAGTGACCATGTGAGTGTTTGGGAAGTGGGTTTTTATGTAGATTTTTTTTAGTTGTAGAATATTATTGGATAAAAAATTTTTGACGTTTGAGAAGATAGTTGAATTTTTATGTGGTTAAATGTGATGTTTGTGAGAGAAAAATTAAAATGATTATAGAATTTGATGTAATATTTTATTTGGATATATTTTTTTTAATTTTGTAAAAAATTTGTCTTTTCATAAAAAAGTCAAAAAAAAATTCGGAACGCAAGTTCCCAAACACCACCAATGGCGGGCTGCAGCTCCACTGACTATAGGCTGCAGGGCTACAAATTTTTTATTTTTATTTTTAATATATATCAATGCTTCAGTTACAGTGCCGAGCTAAATGGCTTTTTTTCAACTATAGGGTAAAATAGCCTACTTCACGACTTCCCAAACACCGCTTAAAGAGTTGAAGGCCCACCAATTTTGTTTTGTTTCTGGACAACGTCACATGAAGGACTGCCCGCAAATTATTAAAGTAGCGAAGATTCAAACAGGTGGTCCGGTCTGGATTTTAAATTGGAGAGGGTTGTTTGAATTTATGGCCTATTAGGGATTTTGTTTTGATAATTTAGGTTGCTTATTTTATTGAATATTTTGAATGTGTTTGTTTAGACGGATTAGATAAGGGAAATTATAATTTATCAACTGTTAGTTCTAAAATATATTATTTTCAGATTATTTGATTGGACTGAATTTGTATCCTATGTTTATTTAGTCATGGAATTAGATATCTGGA